GACAGGTGGACATTAGCACAATTGCGTCTGTGCGGAATGAAAGAGTAGGCTTCTTCAGACGGGGAGAAGGTGTTGCGCTTTCCTCGTTCGTTTTGCGAGCACGACGATTTGACGCATTTCGTGCAAGTTGCACACGAAGTCTGAGAGCGAATAATGATGCACGTATAGGTGTGGTTTTTCGACTGATACAAGGCATAAATAAAAACGAAACAACTAAGTCTGATGACCACTGAACGTGGAGAATGATTACTGCGAGACCAACAGAGAAAGGACGTATACGTGGGAGAGGGCTGCCCCTTTGTAGCGCGTTAAGATTAAATCTGGACGTGATGCAACTTCAGTTCAAACGAAAAGGCGATGAATAGCCTTGATTCTTTGTATAGTTATCAGCTGCGATATAAGATCGTAACAAAACGTTCCCGACGAACAAATGTAATGCATTTTCGTTACTAATAAATTATGTACCGAAGTAACAGAGCAGCAAACAATTGCTCATTCTTGCTTTTTACTCCCACTCATGGGCTTACTTTTTTTCTCTCCTTTTATTCACCTTTCTGTTTCAAGGTGTCGAAATTTGTGTTCCTTTCAGAACAATTGCTATTGATTTATCTATCGAGTCTCTAGGGTAGTTTATTAGTACAGTTTTAAGTGGGAACTGATGGCTCGCGATCATGACAAACCTCTTCACTATAGGTTTGGTTGTTCTTCCCTGCCGTTATCACCCAATGACGCTTTACCAACGGCTTCACTGCTGGAGCCGTTTCAAAGCAGAAAGCAGTTGAACAGAAAAAGACACACAATTTTAAGTCATTCGCTTTGTACCTATAGGTATACAAATGAAAGAAACGGTAATGTCATCGTAAACAAATTAATAAAGACAAATCAAATAAGTATGTATGTCCAAGTCTGTTTCCTAGTAGTGGGCACTACATCATAAAGTTAATACTGCTCCATATGGTGAATGCCAACTGTGGTGTTGACCAAAATTAGCAGTGCTGATTGGCAGCAAGTGCTATGGCTAAATTATTTAAATAAAATGTATTCACACGTTACTGTGAACTCACTGAAAAATAAACAAACAAAACTAACAGCAATGACAAGGTTGACACTCTGAAATGCACTCGCAAGAAATTTATTGCGTTTAAATTTGCTTTTTGTCATTAACAATTCAAACATTCGTCACACGTTTCTGACACGCTGTTTGCAGCCGGACGCTTGAAGGCACAATTACTGTCACATACAATATGAAGTTTTTTTGTATTTTTCTGCTGTCATTCGTGTTATTTATAAGCAATTTGCATCTGCTCAATGCCTAAGCGAGTGAATTCATGCTATTCAGAACAGAGCAATACATGCCCTGCAGTTCAGCGGTAGTTCTTGGAGGGACTTCGCCGGGCAGTCGATTGTGGAGTCGGTATCACGGCGATTGATAAAATTGCACCTCGCTTCATAAATGACGGCTCTTGAGGAAACTTTCATGCGTCGACCATAGAAAATTCAATGTGATGAGAAGCCCCACCTCCCTTCTTTTCCTTTGACCTTTGTTCGTTCGTACTAAAATTCGCCTCTTGACCGAATCCACAAGAAAATATCAGCCCCAGTTTACCATACTTCTTTCCAGGCATCCTCACTAAATATCGATGGTTCAAATCATGCTCTCTTATCTCTTTTGAGCAGTTACAAAATTCCTGGATTTTGCAAAAAAAAAAAAACAAGAAAAGCGATTACTTTGTAAGTGTATTTTACAGAACGAACAACATATTAAACGGAGCTACTTTAACACAACATATCAACATACCTAACATATTCAGCTCTAGTTTTTAGCGGTACGATTTTTTGCGCGTATAATAATAAAAGATGCATTTAGGCCCTGCCGCTATAGCAGAAGGTTTACGTTCCACGTGTCTCTGATGTCGATATCTCTTCTGGTGTTGATGGCATGGGAGAAGGCAACGCTTTCACGCGTGTCACACGTGCGCCGCATACAGACGTGGCCAAGATATTGACATGTCATTTTCACAGCTTGTTTCTTCTGTGAGATAATGCGCTCGCTCTGTTGGGTAGATCACGCTCATCCATACGCCCACAATCTCCGTCTCAACATGCATGATACGGCCAGCGCATCTAAGAAGTCGGGTGCCTTAGGCGCAGTCAGTCACGCGTTCTTAGAAAGAATTAATAAATGATCACGCGGAGGTAAGTCTGTTTACGTAACAAGCTCGCCGCTGTTGCGTCATTCGGATATGTCTTCAGGGCCACCACATCCGACAAAACAGAAGGCTGAATCGATTTGGGACCAGCACACGAATTTCGAGCGCTTGTCTTTTCTTCGGCGCGCTGGCACCCAGCCGCGTCGTTTCCCGCCAGTTGCTGTGGGCGACATTTACGCACGTAGTTCCAGAGGCCACAGCAAAACGCCGCCCGAGTGACATTAAGTGTCCTCGCGCGAGTGGGCGTTTACTCAGAGACATACTTTTGCGCAAGGATTTCGCACGCGCTTTCCCGTCATGATTACTCGGCAATAATGCGATATACCATGCAGTTCTCGATATGAACACTGCCACCTTGATGAAGCAATTGGACGCGTTTTCTTCGCAAAATGAATTGATTGCATGAGCTTTCGAAGACGTTGAAGCCCTTGAACATAGAATAATAGCTAGCAGCACGGCCGTGAAGTGGTGACAACGATACTTTTTTTACAACTATAGCGCTGTCTTACGTGGACCTTCTCGAGGAAAACCTTCGACCGGAAAAGCGAAATCCATCCAAGAGGTCAGCGTGTAACATTCAGGGGGCATTACGGATCGTTTCTGCAGAGCTTACTTCGCCAAGTACATATCCGTTCGTGGCGCATTGTTGAAAGCTCAAAGTACAGGGTGTGCAGCTTTGAAGAATTGGAGGCTTGACGAGTGCAGCGCTGGTATACGACCTCGACCTTCCGTCCGTACTGGCTCCGCTCGAGCGGTAACCTTGGCCGAGCTGCTGACACGGCGGGATTCATCGTTCTCGTCAAGTGCTCTCTGCCTTCACCGCCGCTAGCTTACCTTGCGGCGTGTATACCGGCAGTAGCATTAGCTATGCTCATACACGGCCGGCAATAATCCGACGGGCTGTATGCTCAGATCGTCATGAACCTCCTTTTTCAAGGGTCGAACGCCACTCGTGATAAGAAATATCCGCCTGGAAAGTGTATCCGCCGCTGGCGTTTACCTTAGAATTCTATTGTTCTCTCGCGATGGCCTCGTTCATTGGGCTTTTGGATGAGAATAACAGCGTCTGTAATCTATAGCTATTTCGCAATTCCTCGGCTGCTTTTCCATTGCTATTCCTTCTTTTTCCACCTCTATGTCTGGGAAACCCTTGACGAAGCAAACAGTATTTTACTTGTAGTAGCGGGTAATACATGGGCCGTTTCGATACACAACATTTGCGAACGCACTTATTCGTTTCGTGCACGCGGTCCTGCAATGCAGCCTAGACGGCAGGGATCCAAACTGTATAATTGTTTAATAACTGCATTAACTGCGTGCTCAGCGAAGCGACTCCTGTCCGAAGCACACATGACCACAAGGGTATGTTTGTTTCAGCACATAAATTTCTCGCAGTTGTATTTAGTGCCCATTGTTATCTTGCTCTATAGAATTGTTCTCGCAGGCATTGTTATCATAAATTTAGCGAGAGATAAGATATGCATTTACGGGGTCACTAATTGTGAATAATAAGTGGAGCTGAAGGGCGTAAACTCTACAAGCTTCTTGAATATAAACGTCAATAAATACGACGTATCATCGTCATCAAAAATTACTGACAATGTTAGCCTTATCGTGAACACAGACTTGGTGATACTTGAATAGACGTATACGTGAAGGGCGAGAGGCTGTACATCTTTAACGTTACCGCAGTTCCTGCACCCGATTTTGGTGGCGTCACAACTGTTATTCTGCTAATCAGTTATACTGATACCGCGTTAGAACAATTTCCCTAAATGATTTTGTGAAGTGTTGTATTGAGCTTGCATCCTTTATAGCCTTTATAATGATACGCACCACTTTAAATATGCGTGGGTGCCACCACCACACCAACGATGACCTTCTCAGCGTTACGTTCTTATACTTCAGATGCACTGGGAATCAGATCTCGGGAATCAAGTTCCTGAGATGATTTTCTTACTACGAACTTTGGGGAAGTACTTCGTAGTTTATGCCACGAGTGCGCTGTCAAATGTACGAAAGATGATACGTGCGTTTTTGTGTCGTTCCTGTTTTTTTTCTCCCTAATTCATAACGTCATTGGAATATGTTATTCGTAGTCTGCTTGTCTTGATGCGCCATATTTTTTGTTGTTGAGTGTTCAGAATATTAACATACCTGACATATTCACCTCTAGTTTTTGGAAATACGATTTCATGCGCGTGTAGTAACAAAAGACGCATTCGGTGGCGGGCCTTGCCGCTATAGCACACGGTCCGTGTTCCGCGTGTTCGAGACGCCTTGTCTCTGATGTCGATCTGCGTCTGTATATGTTGATATCGTTTCAGGTGTTGGCGGCATGTGAGAAGAAGGCAACGCTTTCACGCGCGTGCACACGTGCGCCACATACAGACATGGCCAAGACATGTCATTTTCACAGCTTGTTTCATCTGTGAGATAATGCGCCAAATTTTTTGTTGTTGAGTGTTCAGAATAAACTGAGCCATCAGACGCCGACTGTTCAAATTTTCCGTTGCCTGTGGGAATAATCTTCAAAAAGAAACTAGAACAACAATAAGCCAGTGTGTGTAAATATTCTGAACACTTTGTAAAGTTTTCATTGCGGTTATATGTGGCATACAGGTATACACTTGACGTGCTGAATTCAACTCAGGATAGTTGTTTTTTTAGAGGAATGAGAATCCTGGCAACGTATGTGAAATGAGGTATGTTTCATATAGCAAAATGGTAAGCGTACTATTTTCTAATCTTTTTTATGGTGCACTCATTTTTCGTGTTCTGTCGTTCCAGGTGCGATACACGGGAGCAGGCATGAACGTGGCTCGTTCTTTCGGCCCGGCAGTCATGTCTGGAATGTTCGACGACCACTGGGTAAGCACAATGACCATGATACGTGTTTTTGTGTGACTGGTACAGTTTGGCGATTTGAGCATGGTCACGTACAAAGCACCGTTAGCACGTTCATGTGCCTATCGCGACGACTTTTATTTATAATAATCGTTGAGGTTTTACGTCCCAAGACCACGAAACGATTATGAGAGACGCCGTAGTGGGGGGTTCCGGAAATGTCGACCATGCGGTGTTCTTTAACGTGCATGGAAATAGCACAGTACGCGGGCCTCTAGCATTCCACTTCTATCGTAATGCAACCGTCGCTGCCGTGATGGAAACCGTGACCTTCGGATTAGCAGCTGAGCACCGTAACCGCTGCACCACCGCGGCGGACGACTTGTATTCCATTTAGTACATCAGGTGCAATGCTACAAGAGCAGCGAGAATTCTTGCAGTATACGGGCAGATGCGTTCGCGGCATGGAACAGTTCGATGATTTTACCACCTAAAGGTCATGTTTTTTTTTAGTAGACTGAGTAAGGCTTTGTTTTTAGACTGAGTATTAAATGAATACACTTTGCGCCTTCGAAACTAATGAACCCCGTTATTTACACGACTCCATAGGCTATTCTGGATCACTTATAGCGTCTGTTTTAGTTTGATATCGTCCATGGCCTCCTCGAAGAGTTCGGATAGCGCACAGCCGGAGCGAATCACGGAGGCCACGTTTGCAACGACAAAGTATAGGAGCGAGACGCGCGAACTTGCACATTCTGCTAACCTAAACTTCCAGCATATATACCTCCCACGGTGCTGCACCAAATGAGTGAGTGAGTGAGTAAAAAAGATAGGCAATGGTGGATGATAACCACATGTGTGTTCGGTTGGCTGTATACTCTGCATACACAGGAAATAGGGCTAAAGGTTAGTAAGAAATAAAAAGCAAAGAAGAGGACTAGTTTAACGCACAGAGTTGTCGAAACACTCCAGATACCATTTAGCACTATATAGTGAAGAATAGATGCGGACGAGTTAGAAACAAAAACCCGCAAGTCGAGTTTTCGCACCTCCGACATCAGCGTCACGCGCATACATGTTTCTTGATGCAGTGCAGGCATGCGAAAACGTGGAACCTTGGCAGCGAAGGCAAAGTGGTAGTGGTGTCGAGGAAGGTGGAAACGCAGAACATTTACCAAGAACTGAAGTGCGTTTAGACATCAGCGCTCGACCTGTGACCCCTCTATCGCGAGCCGTTTAAGTACGTCAGCGTTATATATGTGCGCCTCACCTTTCTCGAGAACCAAGCTCACGCCAGTCCCATTTTTTACTTTCTTTGGCAACGCTTGCGTCTGACCTTTTCGTGTAAACGAGCCGTGGTGAGGGGAGGATCGGGCGCATCCCATTTTCGTAAAGAATATTATCGCACATCTTTAAGTGTAAGCTGCATGCATTTCTGTTAAAGCTGCAGTGTAAAAAATATCACGAACACTGCTCAAGAACCTCTCTTGTTCCAACACAGAACCGAATAATTGCGCTTCTCTTTGCCAATCAATTGGGGCCCTTAGCAGGTACGTACGTTACAACTGAGGCTGCAGAAACGCGTGACGCATTATTGATACACCCATGGTGTGCCACAGTTGGCTCTCTCGTGACACCCTGTCTGGTGTGTTCACGACCAATAATGGGACCCTGTTTAGCTCAATTAGTAAGTTATTCCACAGAAAGGCAATCATTACTTTTAGCATAAGATGAAGGTTGACAGGCCAGAAAAAAAAAGACGCAAAAAACGAGAATACAGACCATGCATGCTGGCGTATAACCACCTTTGAAAAGCCTGCCACGACGTCTCATATTTTGATATCATCTACTGGGATTTAGTTAGCTGTTTGCATGGTTAAGAAAATGGGTGTGCTATATTGTTTAAAATAACCACAAGATTAAATATACGAAGCATTCCAAAGCTTCCTGGGCCGAAACTACCTACAAGAAAGCATAGTACGAAATTCGTGTTCCACAGTTACGAAATAGGCTCTAGTTTTCGGAGTGTCTCCGGCTTTTAATATAGAAAACGGAAGTCTGATCTTCAATTCCTATTAATAAACCTTGATTTTTTGTGCCAGAACCATGAAAAAGGTGTTTTGAGGGAATACTATATCAACCGAAGATGATTTCATTTCACGGTGTTTAGCGTTCCTTTAACGGACATACATATAGGAGCCACACATCGCCTGTGACATACAGCAGTGAACGTCATGCGCAAAGTGCGCGGCGTAATTTTGAACACCAAGGGTGGGGCGAAGTTGTCGAAAATCACCAGCCACGTTTGAAAATGTAACCTCCCCCCAACCCTTGTATGGGGTAGCGCAAATGCGTTCTGCCGCAGCAGGTATGCCATCATGAATCGCATCTCTCGTGCAGGTCTTCTGGCTGGGACCGATCCTCGGAGGTGTGATCGCTGCCGTGGTGTACGAGAACGTGTTCCAGGCTCCGCCTATCACCAGCGAGGATCTCGACAAAGCCCAGATCATGGCCATGGCCAAGCTTACCAACAAGGAGGTGGTTGCCGATCGCACCACGTCCATCTGAGTGGCACATCTGAGTGGCGCCGAGGCAGCCTTCGCGATGCTTTGGTCGCGCACCGCGTGCCAGCTTATTTATCCCCAAGGTGTCGGAAGTGCGGGCTCTCTACAGTGTTGCTTCTTTCGGCCCTTGCACTCGGTTCCTATCATTGAGGTGCAGCGCGTGCGTCGATGAGGCTTCGAGCGAAGCTAGCTAGCCGTCATTCGTACGGAAGAGTTCACGAGCTGTAAAAAAATGCCCACTGATACCGGACTAGTCCGTTCGGTATTGCGCCTGCCTGGCAGTTGACAACGACCACCAGCTTTCGCCTGTATACTTGTCCGTCTCGCTTTTGTTATTCACCACGTCTCGCGTCATTTTTTGTTTGTTTGTTTACGATGTATCATTGTTTATCACAAACCAATCACGTCGTATCTGCAATGCCATGCGGAATTTGTCAACGCTTTTTTACGCTAACTTGAAAAAAAAAAGCTCTAGAGATGACAAAACCGCGGTGCTCACACTTCTTGGCACTCCACAATAAAGGTGTCTGTGAATCCTTTATACAACGCACAGTGTTACGGCACTTCACTGTTTTAAAGATAGTAAAATTAGACATGAATAACAAAAATCTGATGACACTGTTCGAAAAATTTACTGAGTGACTGTGCGCAGAAGACAAGGCGTAGGCATTCAGGAAACTCCTTGAGGTATAATACTGGAAGCATCATAGCAGACGTGTGCAGATCATAGTTATTTCAGATGTCACCACAACTCATGAGTGTCGTTCTTACCGGTGGACCATACCAGCGATTAAAGCCGGTAATCTTACATTCATCAGACCACCACGCCCGGTTTCATAGCGGGCAGGGCACAAGAGTAACACATCATTTTAAACCACATAATTTTCTGCAGGTTCAAAAATAACTGAAGGTTTTCTGAGGAGAACAAACAGTTTGCATACAATGTCATACACTGTCGTGCGCATAGCGTGTACCGCGAAACGCTCAGGTGATAACGTACGCCACATTTCATTTTAAAACGGCGTGCATTGTTAGAACTTGTCTCGCGTGCATTGACAGCGAGAATGTTCAGATCATTTGGCAATACTTCACAGTTAGCGTGAGAGAGATGTAAATACTGTTTCACTAACCACGTGGACACGCTGTTCACCCTGCAAGTGCTCATGCACGCGTTCAACGAACCAGTGCTGTAATTAATAGTTTTGTAATAAAAGAGATATTTAATGCACGAATCACTGTCTCCAATAACTTTCTCGCCTGGATTCACCAGTCGAACCGGAGGAGAACGAGGATCAAGTCACAGCGGAGGAAAACTCAGGGTGCGTCTCACCAGAGCCGTCTATTTTCAGGCCGCATTCCAGGTTCGTATGCATTTCGCAAGGATGGCCTGGGAATTGTGAAAAAGCAATGAATGGCGTGAAATCAACCGAAGTTTTGAAAATAAGAGCCCCTGCGCATACCTGGAGACATTAGGGAGAGGGATGGAAGGGGGATAAACAACAAGAGGGAAGGCAGGGAGGTTAACCAGGCACATGCCCGGTTTGCTACCCTACGCTGGGGGAATAGGAAGGGGGCATAAAGATGAGAGAGAGAGGAAAGAGAAGAGAAAGAAAGAGAGAGAGAGAGAAAGAGGATTGTCAGTCAATCGGCTGGCGCGTATGCAGCGGTGGCACTACACAAAAGTTAATGTGGTCACATAGGCCTGTAGTCCTCAAAAAGCACAAGACAGCTTTGAGTGGGGGGCTCAGGCTCCCTCCGGGCTGCTTCAGAGGGTGCTCGGCCCCCCACTGGTGCTGAGCCAGGATGTTATTTAAAGGGGCCCTGCACCACTTTTTGAGGATGGTCAAAAAACGCTGGTGACCGGTAGTAGAGGCTCCTGAAAACACGCGAGTGAGCCAAACATTAAAGCGCAGCATGCGGTCTGAAATTCGCAATAAATAATTGAATTCATCTCAAAATTGCTTTCTGTCCTTTCAACGAATGATGGAACACGCTCAAAAACCACTCGTAGGAAGATACCAATCATTCATTGGCCGATTTGAACATGGCACGCTCGGTTCTTACAGGGATCGCCACGCCAGGCCGTGACGTGTCCATGCGTGTACGTAGGATCACACCAAAAAAAGCTGCGCATTCGAAGTAAAAAAAAAGAAAGTGCTCAAGGCCACGAGGACCGTGTGACGTATTTCCTTTGCCACTGTCATCTTTCCCTACTTAGCTTGCAGCGCTTTCGTGAAGACAAGAGAAGAGATAAAGCGATTGCAGCGTGTGACCATTCTTTGTAATTCCGCTCGTACGTGTCGGATTCTTAAAATTATTCACATATAGGCGAATATGCAGACACACTTGAGGTCTTTAGTACACGATCATTTTAGACATTTCTTTCGGCTTTGCTAGAAGTATACATAAAACTGACAATGTGGCATATGGTGAGTGGTTTGTATATCTATTTTCACACGAAAGTGTTTTGTTCCTGGGTCCACCACGGCTCCGCTGACGTACTTCCGTCCTGGAAGTGACGTTCTGGGACGTTCTCCCCGAAGGGAACCATGATGGGATACGAAGCAGCATCGTTGCGCATCAGTGGTGTCACGGGCAGAACAGCGTTAACGCTGGTGCTGCGGTGAGTGCTGGAAGATATATGTTTGAATCAATGGCTGGCCTAGGTCTTGTAGGTGACACATACAGACATGTTTCAACGCGTACGTCAGGCGCGCGTCAGGTTTATTGCACGTGAACCGATGAGTCGGCGGCGTAGCAAGTGGCGGTTACGGCAGGTGTTGCAGGCGAACAGACGAGGCGGTAGCTGCGGGCGCCGCGGAAAGCACATGGCAGGCGAGGGAGAGAGTTACGTCGACGTGCAGCAGTGGCGTGACCTACTTCGCACGGCGCCAACACCTGCGGTGCGCAGCGCGTTCGTACGGAGGAACAGCGTTGCACAGGCTAGTCAGAGCTGCTTCGCATCTGAAAAATACACCAAGTGATTGAAAAAAAAAAACGAAAGACAGGCATTCCGCGCGCAGAATTGAACCACCTACCTCTCGATTCTCAGTGCACGGTGCTAACCACTCCGCCTGGAACATGCGTTGCCTGAAGTGCAAACGACAAGCCTTTTATATGCACCATAAACCGTTTTACACTCCTCAGAGCTTCACAACTTTAGCGCATTTGCGTTATCAGTGGCGAGATGGCACGATGGGCTCGCGTTGGGCACGCTCTAAAGGTTGCCGCCTCAAAGAAGCACCGCCTCCACGGAGCGTGGTTTCATGCGCGCGCTGATCAGTCCTGCGCACGCGCTTATCAGACTCGTAATTCGGGAGAGTACGAAGGTCACTTCGCATGCTGCCGCGGCCACGTTTACGAAAGGAGTACGCTGCTGACACACGACGCAGGAAGTTAACAATTGTTCACACTAGTCCTGTCTACTTGTGCGCTCTTTTCGTGCGTCTTTCAGCGTGCTTAAGTGTCGAGCTGTGACTGTTGTTCGTACGCTTTCATCCTGTGTATGCTGATTTCGTGCGTGCCTTCTGTTTGAAGTGTGCGCTGACAATTTCGAGCGGGTTGCCGTTGTTAACATTACTTTAAATACGTTACTCTTGCTGAAACAATGTACAATAAACGCTCAAGTACATCTACAAAGACACGTTGTACTTTCGTGTTTTACCGATTCCCATAATATGCCACGTTATTCTTTATTCTGCGCCACGAAGAGCAATAGTATTTCTCCATGGAACTTTTTAATGCTTTTAGCAGCTTCGACTTTTAGTAAAAATCACGTTTTGACAGCATCTGAGGTTTCCATTGCTGATCCGACATTTGTGAGTGAAGAAAATGGCAGACAACTCTGTAATATATTTACAACTGGTATTCATTACCATATGACACCGATTCCGATAAATAGGAATCACACAGTCAAAGTGAACGAGCAGCACATAAATGATTCAAGTGTTGTAATCACGCCCACATAATGATTCAGCTGCTTCGAAGTTGAACCAAGAGAGGATAGCTTGACACGTATATCCTCCTGGCTTCCGGGTTGGATTTTGGTCCACGGAATTGCCTAAAACTTTCACAACTTGGTGTGTAGATGACGAAGATAAAAAGTGAAGCTTATTATTTCCGTGATGCCTGTGCTTTTGGTATGGCGTGATGTCCAACTGATTGGACGCTGAAACTTAATTAAAGCGTTAAGTAGTGGGCCTGAAACAACACAAAGCAAGGCTACTGAAGAAAATTGTGACAAATTCCGGAATAACTGCAAGCTATTATTCAAAATGTAACAAATAATAAAAAACCAACAGAAAAGTGGACCCTAACTTTCGCCGTTTAACTTCTAGAAGATTGCCCTGTTGAATGCCACCATGTTTTCTTCTTTGTTTCGCGATCTCCTGGCGCAATTTTGACAAAACTTCATGGAGGGCGCCAGTAGATGTCCAAAATATTGGACAAGTGGTTTTTGAGGAAGAAAACATGCTGAGATCTTTGTAGTGATGGGGTATTTCATGTCCAATATTTTGGACAAATCCCCATAGCTGGAACTCAGGAGGATATTATGACACTGTTACAAGACCACACGTTTTCATTAATACTGACGTGTCGACCACATCTTATTAGTGATCGTAGTGGAGCCATCATTACCGTAGTGCATGCTAAGTTGAAGTCGCCTCGAATACGCAAATGTTCTTTTTTTTAATGCGAAGCATTTCTTAGCGAACTTCAGCGACTTTGAGCGTATCTATTTATCTATCTAGCCTCATAGGTTTGGTTCTCTCGTAGTCACCTCCTTAACTTGGCCTGAACGAAAATTAGCATGGGAGGGTAAGATGGTTCGACGAATATGACGCGCTGGTCAAGACATGAATAATGTCACAATCTTCTCACGTACTTCGTCAAACACTTCCCTCCAGACAGTGGCACACACCCACGGGCGGGTATGTGCCACAGGTGATCGGCACTTAGTATCGACCCAGCAACGACTAGAACACACCTAGACGCACAAGCAATACCTGACATTCGTAGTGCCGACCCAACTAAACCGTAGAATAAATGTGAAGTATTAAAAAAAAAACCTGACATAAGCAGCGTAGACCCCCTGACGAATGCAAACAACGAATTTCAGCGTCCCAGCAGGAATGGAACCCAATCGTTCTTGCGTGGCAGTAAAGCATTCTACCACAGACCTACGCCACGTGGCGGAACTACATTTTAAATATAGGCTAATCTTCGTGAAACGTCTAAACTGCTTGCAGTGCTGCCTGCCCAATTTTAAAAACATCATATGTGTACTCCTTTTATACAGCCGTCACGTCTCCTTAACGCCAATTGTGGTTAGGTGCCATGCACTCAAGTTTATTTATGTATAGCAGTGTCCAGGGCCACCATCTCCGCGAGCATGAGCGCTTCATATCAGCTTCTGGTGTTGCAACTACGCATGTTCCAGTTGATTTCGTTGCGCAAGTGCAAACAACTGGTTATATAAACATCCTCAACTCTTACACATTTGTCTGAGCGTGCAACATTTGTACATACGTTTAGAGTCATTTCATGAGGTGTTGCTCAAAAAAAAAAATTGCAACACGGTCACCTTCCCTCCGCATGCTTCGCATAAAGGCGATTCCCAAGTACGTGGGATCTGCCGATTTTTTTTTGTCTCCATCTTCTAAACAGTGAAGGTGACGCGTTTGAACTCGGCCACCACCATTCTGCCAGCCCGTGTCTTTCAGGAAGCGACTTTCATGTGACGTGTTCCGCAAAGGCTCGCATTAATTAGCGCACGTATATAGAGGGCGTATTAAACGTATATACGGCGCATAGGGCTGGGCAAAGAAAAAAAAAACTCGGGGCATGCCCACAAGAAGTGCGAAAGAGTGGAGAGCCATGATTTTGTTGCTGTGGTGCACCTGGCTCATTAATGCATGCGATGAGTGAAAATGCTCCTGGAATGCGTCGAAGAAAGAAGACCGAAGGAAAGAAGAGGGTCAAAGCGGTGGCCGTATAAAATATCCTGCACGCCTTTTTCTGTGAACAGTATGCCATGTACTGTAATATGTAACCTCTGCTTTCACGCAAGAACGCTCAATATTGTGGACGGGTACTAAAAGCTATTTCCGCAACCACTCCTTTAAAAGTTAGTTCGTGCGTTTTAGTAAAAGTCAATATTGCAAAGGTTACTAGATAGCTTGTGTTTTATCGGTACACAAATTTGTGAAAATGTGCATACTTAGTAAATGTC